GGGCCCGCAGCCGCGGCCTGAGCCGTCGCCTGCGAGAGCTGGAGCGGGAGAGCAGCTACCTGCGGGCCGTGCTGGCTAACCAGAGCGCTCTAGGGCAGCTCCTGAGCCGCTTAGCCGGGATCCGCGCCGGCGGGCTGCAGCTCAGCACCAGCCTCTTCAGGGACACGGGCAGCCCCCGCCGCCATCACCACCACCTCCAGCCTGCCGGCGAGAGCAGCGACCACGACTACGCCCTGCCCAGCTCCCGGCCCCCCAGCCTGGAGGAGGCGGCGGTGGTGACGGAGACGGAGGAGGAGTGGGCGGCCCCCGGCGGGATCTGCCTCCACGTGGACCGGGATCAGGTGTCGGTGGAGTTCTGCTCCATCTGCGCTCGGCGAGCAGCGGCCTCCTTCAAAATGTAGGGTCAAGTACCTGCTGCAAGTACTCGTGGGGTTCTCGCCCCTAGGGGCCTCGCGTCGTGGCGGAGGAAGCAGGCGATGGTGCGGAGGAAAAGAATAAATACAGTGGTGATGGGGTGGTATTGGGGGAGATGCAGAGGAGGGGAACCTGGCACGTAAATGGCCAGGATAACAAAAAAAAAATCTCTTGAACGGCACATTGGGAGCCAGATGGTGGCCTTGGTTAAAGGTCATGTAGATCTGGCGTGCGGACGGTAGTGGTCTGAGCCTGTTTGGCGTAAGAGTCGTGCAAAGCTGTGTACAGCAGTGCGATAATTGTCGTGCAAACTGACGCGCATACACACGCAGAGGTGCCGCCAGAGCCCGTTTGCAGCACTTGGGTGAAAAGATCATGCCGACCTGACGCATGAAGGTGTGCTCGGTTCCACTTCGCAGTTGCCAGTAAAGATAACACTGACTACCCGGTCTTGAGTCAGATAATGTCTAGCCTGCTTATCCCGAGGAGCCGAAAATGCTTGCTTAGAAAACCAAACCAAAAACTTCCTTAAGACATCGTCACTGGACAGACTTAAGAAAATAGTAATGATCGGCAAAAGAAAGCATGCATATAAAATTGTACTGCATCTCAGTTATACATTACTATTAAAACCTCTCTGACAGTTTCTCTTTTAGGTGCTTGCCCTGCCAGGCTCCGTTGTGTAGGGGTTAAAGAACAGTCGTTTTCCACCTCGCAACCTGGTAAGGATCAATATATTCCCATAATGCGGTATCAGACAGCTTGCTTTGCTTATGCCAGTCTCTTGTAATGACTGGTTCAGGAAATGATTTCTCTGGTCCTTGGCCTACTCTGCCAAAATGTTTCTAGCTCTGGATGATAACTAATAGTGAAAATTACAATCACGTCATTCTAATTAGCTGTTTTCCTCTTTTCCTTTTTTAAATGAGTATGCATATAGTAGCCAATACATGAGCTACGTTTGAATTAAAAAATAAACACTTAGGCCATTTGAAATAAGAATTTTCTATTAAACTAAGTATCTGATGAGCTGAAAAGGGAAAATATGCTAATAAGGGGGATGTGACATTTACAGCCTTTTATCATAGGGGACTGTCCCAAACGTGCAAGTAAACTGCTTTTTAAATGGAAAAAAAAAAGAATTTGTGACCTTTTGGTTTAAAATACTGTCTAGTGTTTGGGATGCACGGTACCTTTAAAAAGTCCTTCTCTAGCTTACTCTAATTCATGATGCGGAGTTTTGCCCGATTAAGCAGAACCTGAACACTGGTTATATCTGTACAGTGGAATCCTAATGTAGAGGAGTCACTTTTTTGCATGGACCTCTAACAAGAATTGCGGTTTGAAGAATGCAGTGCATCGAAGTAACTCGTTACTTTAGCTTCCCATAAGTAAATCTCTGTGCCCGTGCACACTGAAACTCCTATGTTACTTCAAAGTAGCTTTAAATTTTAAAGATATTGCATGTATATGCATGTGCTTAATTTTACTGTAGAGTTCTTAATTTAGCCTCTTACAGTATCCAGAAATCTATAACTTTATATAATTAAGCACAGTTTGGAGATGAGCAAGTATGTATCTTGAGGCTAATGATTTGAAAAATGCTCCGTAATTAACTGAGATAGGAGGAAAAATAGTTTGACAAACAGTAGCGTGTGTTTTCTTGTACTAGTCAGTGTTTCTCCCTATCACAAAAGATGAGTGGGTTGTTTTTTCAGTTGTATTATAATGTTTAGGTTGTTTATATGTATGTCAGTTGGGGGAAGAAGGATTGTGAAAATGATAATATGTAAAGTGAGGTTTCACAAAGAATAGACTTTCCTAAAACAGTTTCATTTATTAACTTCTTTAAAAAAAGATTCTGTTTAGTGTTTCTGAAGTCTTGTTTCTTAAAGCCTTAAATTTTGTGTTTAAGGCTAAGTAGAAGGTGAAAGTGTTTTCCCCCAGTCATTTGCTTTATTGGTGCTAGACCCTATCAAGTGTTCATCAGTATAAAAGGAGTTTGATTTTTCTTTGTGAAACATCACTGTGTGATAAAGTATATGTGTATTTAGCATCCTTGTTTTTCTTTATGCTAAAGTGGATTCAGCTGTGTTGGGGCAGAAGAGACGGGACCAGCTGCTGGCCACATTTCCTGCTTTATTTTAAAAGGTAGTATAAGAAATGAGAATAAAGAGGTAACAGGGCTTTTGCTGTCTTTGGTTAAAAAAAGAAAAAAAGAAAAAGGTTGAATGCTGGGATCATTTACTGTCATCCAAGATGTTTTTTTTAAAAGACAATATCCTATTGAACAGGTTTTATTCCAGTGTATGCAGAATTCCATCTGTTCAGGGCATATTGCCAGCACAAAAGAGACTTAGTGGGATATGTGTTACCTTACACCTCTGTGGTGGCATCTGCAGGACTGTTCAAAGTTTCAGTCTTAAATTGTGTAACCCTGCTGTAATTGACGGGTTATACCAGTGCCACAGGAATCGGAGTTAACCATCAAGACCCGTGCCGACTGATACGCAAAATGGAAATAATTGAGTTAGATTCAACCTAGGCTCAATCTGCCTAGCCCAGACTTCATGAACATGCTTTATTTTGAAGTTTAACATGCTTGATGAAAAGAGAAACACTAATGTAGCAAGTATGGGATGTTACAATGGCATTTTTACAGTTACTTCAGCGTAGAAGTGTTTTTTAAGTTAACTTAAATATGCATTCTTTCTTTTTGCATCACTGCTACATGGTAGAGGTCAGGGACTTAGTTCTGGTCTCTGTTGTGAACCTGCACATCACTCTAGTCATGAAACTACCTGTGAGCTGTGTCTGAGAGTAGCTGATTTTCTGACATGCAAAATGATGTATACCAGTACAAGAACAAGGTCAAGTCCCAAGAAAGTAAGTGGCTGCAGGCATTTCTAGTGCCTACTGAATCATATTTAAACCAAATAGAGGGGAGGAAGTTATTTGAAATTCTAACCGACTGTACTATCTGTATGGTGTATTATTAATGTAGCTTTTTGAAGTGAAAGCCTTGAAATGACATAACTTAATACTTGAAAATATATTGTAAATGTTTCTTTGTAATTATGTGCCATCCAGATAAGAATACAATATCATAATAAAATCAGACTTGTTGATCTTTCAGTTTATGGGCTCAAATGTTTCTTCATCTTTTTCTTCTCATTAATGCCTTGCTTTAATTGAGGGGTTCGTTACACAAAATGGGAAAGCAGAAAGGGGAAGATGCTGTTGCTGCTATCCGTGTGGGTCATCTGTTGGAAAACAAGATAAAGTGGAGCAGGGTGTCCAGGAGAAATATGGTTACTCATCTGTCCTTCAAGTTAAGTTTGTGGTGAGGACAAAATGAAGGCTTTATTCCTTGAACTGAAGATAGAGTTATGCTTCTGAGAATCGCCACTCCTTGTATTTTACAGTTGTTTTTCTTTCTTACTGTTTTATTAATGTGGCTATGTTTGATCGATAAACCATGGAGTAGTAGAACACTTACATAAACGCTTCCATGGTCTGTTGGCACCTTCCTCCTTTCTGTCCCCTTTTTAGGTTCTGAAGTTTGATGACAGTTAAAAATACGCTGTTAAACCATAATCTTTCATCGGATTGTTACTTCCACGCTAAACACTGGAGTGACTAACAAAGGTTTGAGGGTGCGGAAAGGACAGAACATTTTTAAAGCTCCAGGGTGAGCCATGCACTGTACTGTTTGATTTCTGTTAATCTTAAATGCTTTATTTGTAGAGGGCAGTTTAAAAGAGCGTGCTGGCTTTCTAGCATCCAGGCATTCTAGGGAAAGTAGTCTGCAGCTTGATAAAAAGGAACATTTCACAAAAAACATTGCTTAAAAATTTAATAGCATACTGGCATGCTCTGCCTTTTTTGGCCTCCAGTTGTAGAAAATACCCTGTTCAGCGTTGAAATTTGTGTTTGTTAAACTGTACATAGCACAGAACCATCAGTGTTAAGCTGCCATGGGACCTTCATTTTCTAGATTTCTCCACCCCACAGCCGCTCGAAGACTATTTAGCATTTAAATAAGAAATAATTTCATGCTCAGTTCTTGGTTCGTTCTTTACAGTTTGATTCCGGTACTGTGACTCTTAGTAGCATTCTAAATTAGCTTCTCTCTCTTTCCTCTGAAGAGCTTAGCAGCATCAGGGAGGAAAAAACAAATTGGTGTTTCTGCAATCTCCAGCTGCCTGGAGAGGTGACAGCAAAGTAAACGTAGGGAACGGTATTCCAGATTGTCAGATTTCTCATGCCACTTGTCCAAACGGTCATCAGTTTTCCCTGTGAAACACAGAGATCTTTTGCAAAACGCAAAGGCCTTTTGTAAATTTACTGATTTTTAAGAACTTGGGTTCTCTAGAGCTTGTAGTTAAAGAGGTTTTCTGCTAGAAGCAACATACTGTGTTTATAGGGTTGTATTTGCTTAATAGCAAATATTAGTTAGTTAGGCTGTAAATGTCTCGGGGATATATTGGGTATGGGGGTTGTTCAAATGGGCTTTGTGTTTAAAGAACACCCTGTGTAACATCACACATTGACAGTAGCTGATTCTACAGTTTTTCACCCAGTTTAAGTGGGATATGCAGATCTGGAGAAATAATTCTGCCTCTGCTCATTAGCAGGAGGATGCCAGGAGCTGGACTAGGGCGGGTACAGGGGAGAGGAGGGTATCATTTGCAGGGGGCTGTGGAATAGATTGTAATGTTGAGATTCAGCATCAAAAATGGTACATATAGAAGATAAAATTAGTGCTTTTTTAGTATTTCTGTTGATTCCTACCTGTAGCCAGCCTCTCGGCATTCTTTTGGCAGTAGTTCAGACTTGGAGTAGCCAGAAGTCCATCAGCATAGGTTATCTGTCCGTTAGACACAGGCATTCTTCTGAGAAGGCAGCAAAAGCTATTGCTGCGATACGTAGTCTGCAGCTGGCTTGTTTCTAGTAAAACGGTAGAAGAAAGGAAACAACCCAAACC